GTAATCGGTTTTGTCGAAAATAAGGCGTTTAACGGCGATAGTAAACTTAATCCGTTTAATTTTAAAAACTTTAATATAAATTTCCTGTCGCTTTACGTCGATGGAATGCAAGTTCCTACTAGACCATTACAACCTTCTTTTTCAAGAGACTCTCCTCTCTACATCGAGGCTTTTCATACTTTTTTCTCAGGAACGGGTATTCATTTTCTAAACATAGGCAATGCTATAAGCAGAGATGCTTATGCACACGAATACACACTCTTCGCTTTTGATCTCACACCCGATTTATCGGCCAATTGCGTCGAACATTGGAATCTCGTGAAGCACGGTAGTTTGCGAATTGAAGCACGGTTCGAAAAAGCTCTCGAAACGACTATTAACTGTCTTGTTTATGCGGAATTCGACAGTGTTTTAGAAATCGATTCTTCGCGCCAAATCATTGTTGATTATAACGNATAATCATATTTTTGCACATGCGTAAAAACAAGATAATTTTCTCCCACTACATTTTTCCCACTTTTCTACGCCTTTTGTCGCAAGCGTTTTGTGGAGAAATTTCAGTTTCGTTCTAGTCTCCGATATCTTCGCTTCGTTTTCACGATGTCCGAGTATAAAGGTGCTGTGATCATAGAAATGCAAGGATTTCGTGTCGTCGTGTGTGAATTTACTCCAAAAGAAGTGGCGTATGTCGCGGTAGAGCGACCGATTTTCGGAAACTGGATCTTGATGCCTCCGTTCTCGTTTACCGAATTACCACAAAAATCAAAACAATGCAACAATTGGCTTACACAAATTTATTTATTTTTTACGGTATTGAATGGTTTGACGGTGAAACCAATCTCAAATATCTCACGAGACATCTACGAGAAGACGTCAAATACGCTTCCGCCATCTACACCAGAGGCAAAGAAAAAATGGATTTCTTAGAAAAGCTTCTGTCTAAAAACATATATAATCTGGAAGCTCTCTCTCCGTCGTTCAAATCCATCTCGAAAAGCAAAGAGAACATATCTCATTGTTCGTATCACGGAGTTCGCTTATCGGACATTAGTTGCGCTCTACGTAACGCTTTTTGGTTAAAGCGCTGGTTAAACCTAAACAGCGTTGCAGAACATCTCGATAGCGACTTTGTCAGCGATGAGATCAACATGATACAATCTGACGACATCAGAACGGAGGAGGAGAAAGAACAACTAACGGAAGAAGAAGAAGATACGCGCAGTAAAGACAATTGCCCACCGAAAACCTCCTGCCTAAACGACGTTGCTGTACAAACAGAGGTACAAGGGGAATACATATGATTTACTCCGCTTTCTCGCGACTATCTGTATCGAAATAATGATTATTGAAAGAAATATTGCAAGCCTTGCGACAACTGCAAATATCTAGACACACGGGAGTTTATCCAGCCGACAAATTGCCCATGGTGTGGACGAAGTGGACAGCAATCGTCGCTAACACAGACAATCACAATCAACCAGGAACTCACTAGGTTGCCTTCTTCCTCGATGGGAACAGACACGCCGCCTACTTCGACAGCTATAGAATACCGCCGTCAGATTCCCGCTTCCTTCTGCGACTTCGAAGAAATTCCGCAACGCACACATGGAACACGACTCAACTTCAAGGATATTTCTCGCAAACGTGCGGGCATTATTGCTGTGTGTTTCTCTATTTTATGGCTTACGTATAGCCTTTCCCAATTTTTACAACTGTTTTCCGGAAATTTCGACGCCAACGACAAATTAATTGTATGTTTATTTCATAAAATATTTTCTACAAAATCCAACAATGTACAAACCCGCTTTCTTGAACACTATATTCAACACTGTACTTGTAAAAAAAAAAAAATAATTAACTGTAATCTTGTATTTTCTTTTATGTATTCAAAATATATCTATATCAAATAATTGTACTAAGTTGTTTTCTGTTATTCTTCCCAAAAAACCTATTTCTAAACTCCTCAAACATTTTTATAAACATTTTATTCTACATTAAATATCCATCGAAAACTCTCGTAGAATTTTCTCGAAGTTTCTCGCGCGAACAAGTACGCGCAGGTTTAACGGTCCCGAGTCATAAACCGTTTTTTGTCTTTAAAAACTTATGTTCTCATCGGCACGCACGTGTCAACCCGCACGTACAAGTTCGCGCAGATGAAAATCGTTCAGAAAAAATCCGGACACATAAATTCATTTTTTATATTACATCCGTGACTTTCTAGTCACAGTCTTGCGACGCCTGCTTTGATTTCTATTTTGCCTAGACGCCCTCAACAATGCTTCACGCTCATTGGGAGCCCTAAGTGCCCAGACGTTCATTGGTCCTTCCTTGGGAGCCCTATCATCCCCATCAACTACCCCTGAACCTCGCTCATTAAGAGCCATAAGTGCCCAGACGCTGATTGATTCTTCTCGGGACCGATGCCACCCCCGCCCTTATACTTCCTCACTCAACCGACGCCAACTTGCTCTCATACATGTTTGAACGCACGAGGCAACAACATCGGAGCGCCGCCATTGCCAGTAGCAGCCACGCTTGAAAACGGATTTTGATAAATAAATATATACTTGTTTAATAAAGAATTCTTTTACTCGAGAACATTCTCGAACTTTCTTCCCACACAAATTCCTCAACAAAAAAATTTAAAATACGCATTTTTAAAAAATTATAAAAATTTAAAAAAAATTTAAAAAAAATTTATAGGGTCATGAATCATGTCACTTTTCCATCCCCTCCAGTGGGCGTGGCCAATCACCACCAAGAGAGAGAGGGAAAACCACCCTAAAGGGGCAATGGCGCAGGAAGTAGTGGGAAGGCCAGGTGGAGGGGGTTTTAAATAAGTGCCCACATACTACTGGCAATTCTACGGTTAGAGATATTTAAATCATAGTATTTGTATAAATAAATACAGTTCATGTTATAATACGAGAACATCTAATTTTTATCATTATACGTAATAAACTGCAAAACAATTGTTTTTATCTTTTTCATCACACGTACCAAATTCCCATTAAACATATTCAATAGTCATGAAAGTATGGACGTTAAATAAAAGTTTAATAATCGTTATATCGATGGGAATCGGTGCTCATATCTGTATAATTATAAATGGTTCATATATAATCTCTTAATACATGTGTTAGAATAATAAATGTTTGTAACAACACTACATCCATATATGATGTTTGATGCTTTCATGATGTGATTTACAAATTTCGGAAAATGGATTGCAATAAATCAGAAAGTACAAAACAATCAAGTTTGTGTTTTATTAAGATGTGTTCATGTTATTATTATAAACAAATTTTAGACTAATTGTAAGCAAACTTTCACACTTATAAAAAGTACCGTATGATGTCATTAAGTTTTACGGTTTTGACATCTTTTAAGGATCTAGTGCCAATCTACGAGTAAAACATTATTCAAAATCCCCTGCACATTTGTCGATAAATGTTGTCGACTTATCACTAAGAGTTCTAATGCGTCAGTTAAATTTAGCAGATATAGAATTGTTATCGCAGATTCATAAAAGGAAGTATGGTTTCCTTTTCGCCAATTTCTGTGTTTAACTTATTACAATGACAGTCCAATTGTCGCTTTAACAGTGCGAAGTTTGCAAATACATTTGACTTATCGTTGGTCAAATAATTTAACATATTTTTTGTTAACAATTTTTTATTTAATCTTTGAAGTTTTAAATCATGTGATAGTAAAGCTATTATTCTTTGTGTTGGTATTTTATCTTTCTTCTTGATTTTAAATAAACAGAAAACATTTATTGTACAAATATACGTCGCGACGTGTCGTGTGAAATATACTATCCACGCTGCGGTTACTTTATAAAACCATCATACAAAAAATTTTGTTTACTATCACAATTAAAAATTGAACATAAAAAAATCATGGTTTATTCAAAGTTTATTAATAAATATTTGCTGTACTTTTGTTTTTATTAATGTGTTACAATAAAAGTATATATAAAATTTATAGTAGAAAGTATATATGTAGATATAAAATATCTGAATACTTTCACTGTTTTGATACGATTCTTATTGTCCGATAATTTTGTTTACCGCTTATAAAGATCGACTGTAAAAGTAAAACATAGTTACTGACAATGCAAAGAATGTTATGGGTTTTACTTTTTGCTGCTCAGATATTCTGTAGTTGTGGAAAAGTAATTCTTTTACGTGGAGAATCATATCATATTAATTCAAATGTAAGTGAGAGAAAATATATATGTCTGTCAAAAGATGACGGCGGCGCACTTGTAGTNAATGACGATATAAAACAATATCAGCAAGGAACTCTTACTTCTAAGCGTAAGTTATAACGTTCTTATAACATATACAAAATTACCATTTATAGTTTTATAACTAAACTCTTTAACATAAAGTTTCTTTACACAATGTTTCATTTTTTCGTATACGATTTTCTTTTACGCTTAAACACACGTTTCGAACATTCTGTATAAATCAATTATACTGTAACTTAAATTTCGAAATTGATATTTTTATTTGAAGTAATACCTAAATCTTAATATATTATTATATTTTTTTTTAGATTGTATATTTATAATTTACAGAAAAGACAAATAGAGAGAGAGAGCTCCAAAGATTTTAAAGTTCAAGTTGGGAGGCAGTTGAAGCAAGACACGGATGTTGTTGTACAAACACGTGAAGGTGATTTTTATTTCATGATGTAATGTGTATGTATAATGTGACAACATTTTGACCTTCGGTTTAGGTCACACACACGGCCTCAATTTGCACAGTGACACGGAGAATCTAGACAAATCATATTTACCATTTGTTGTTAATACAGCTTAAACTCTCCTTTGCGCATGCTTCGACTTATGAATTCACTGTTCATTTTGATATACTTTCCAAATTTCAATCAGTCATTGACAGCGCATGTGTTAATATATCTTCATCACGTTGCACGACGATTTTAATAACAGCATATTACTGTAAGTTTACATATTAATTTTACAATGCGCATATTTTTAACCCAAATTTTTTTGTTTCTTTGCAATTTATTGTTTTTATATTGAATTTGTAGAAAGACTTTGATAAAGACCTAAATTGAAGGTTGAAACGTTGTCACATTATACACATTACATCATGAAATAAATGTCACTTTCACTTGTTTACACAACAACATTCGTGTCATGCTTCACCTGCCTCCCATCTTGAACTATACACTTATTTTAAACAAGCATATTATTGCAGCAATTATCGAAAAGTCTCAGAATACACTTAAATACAATACTTGGATAAATTGCAAACTGCCAGAACTTGCACAAAACTCTACAAAACTTAACAAACCAAACTGTTTAGAATCTTGGTCTCTAGAAAACTGGAGTCTCACGGATTCTTCGGAAACATTTATGGGTCCGGTATTTGATCAACGATGGGAAGGTAGATTTACAATATCTCAAAAGTTTTATCAATTCTTAATTAAAAATATTTAAGTCATTGCGTCATTCTATGTTTGTAAAGTGTAAATATAATGTTATTGTTTGAAATTATATATATACTTCCTACTCGTAGACTTTCTCGAATTGAAGCAAAACTTTTTTTGGTACGACTTTTCAACGGCAGGTGCGGCGTCTATTTCAATTCGTTCAAGGCGGGACATACAGATTTTTATCTGTCTCATTAATAAGAGCAAAGAATCGTATACAGATGATGATGTGTGGAAGAATTGTTTTCGGATACTATTAAAATACAAGACAAAATCCAGCATCGAATTCTGCAAATTTGTTTCTATGCAAAAGTTTCCTAATACTAGTATATGGGATTTAAAGTCTATCAATCACAATTGCTCTTCCTCCATCACAACTTGCGAAAAAGTAAGATATACGTAAAATATAGCTTCCTAGTTATGCAGTTCTTATGTTTTTTTTTCTACATTATCAAAAAACTTTTTAATCAAACCTGAACAAAAAATGCTTGTAATTGAGATATAAGTGATTAAATGTAATACTTTTTTATGACGTTGTTAAAAAAGAAAAAATCATGTAAAGAATAAAAGTTCAGAGAACATGATCTAAACAAAATAATTAGATACGCAGTATATTTAACTAAAGTATTTACAATTATTTCAGTGGATGTCATTATCTGCGACTGAATGGCGAACGTTCGTCATTTCATGGGATTTCTGGAAAAGAAATATTTCTGTTTATGGTACTAATAACGAAGTGCTTACATTTGAAGCAGAACAG